CAGGAATGTGTGGAGTCAGAAAAACCTGCATGTTTCTCATTGCTGCAAAGGAACCCAGGGTGTCCTAATCTCAGACAAAAAACAGTAGTTTAAAGCAGTGTATATATCTAGGAGCAAGGAAATAAGTGAGGGATGGATAAAACCAAATCCTGGGTCTTGCCATCAGGGTTCTAATTGGATGGTCATGCTGGAGGCTTCTGATTGGCTTGAACTAGGACTGGGAGAAGGATTGTTATTATTTCAATATTTTTGGTTAGAAGTTTGATGAACTTAATTGAGAAAGATAGTTGCACAAAAATATAAGAAGTGAATAACTGCTTCTTAACATAGAAAGTCCTGTAGAAAGTTTTGTAGAAGGGCATGAGATTTTGAGATTCAACAATAAGCACTTCAGCAATTTATCTGTTTTTAAATTAGGTACAGAGCAAATTCCTCTTGGCTAGTCTTCACCCTAATTACTCTGAACGCTATTTATGTTACTAATAAACAGGATAATTATGTGGCTGGTCAGGGAACCAATTATTATTTCTTTAATTTACATGGGGGGATTACTCTAGATGTGCCCAGTATACACAGAGAACAGTCTTAGTATCTCTCAGAATCCTAATCAGTTTTCAAACCAGCTTTTGAGAATTTTTAAGGAAGAAATCAATGCCCAGAAATATAGAAACACATATTTATTGGAATAAATAAATATATTGGTTTTACTTCAAAGATGTACCTACCTAGAATTTTTTGTAAGCCCTTCCTGTTTCTGGGGTCAGCCATCTGCTGGATGGTGAATCCTCAATATAAAACACAATAGAAATCTGCTGAAAGCTGGTTTCCCTTTCCTCTATTTTAAAACAGCCTCTTCTGTATGAACCTGACTCTCCACTGCAACCATTATAATTTTTTTCCCATTTTGAACCACCCCCCTCAGCAGTTTAAGATGTCATATAATATGTCATATAAGGTATGTCACTTGATAACTTTTTATCTTCATGCACTTATTTGGCTAAAAGACATGCTAACAGATGTTCAACATTAACTCACAGAAGTTAACTTAAAATTAGCAGCCAAAACTAAAAAAAATGACCAAAAAATATTACTGAGCTTGTGGCAGCAAGAAATTTGAAAATTTTATGCCATTGTTTATACAGTAAAAAAATCTATAATGCGTATAACTTTTTTTCAAAGATTGCTTGGAGAAAAAAAATATCCTTAACAAATTAGTCCATCTCAGGAAAGGAAATACCTCAGAATTACTGACATTATTTTTATTTAAATAAACTTATCTAAAGAATAATATTTCCCTATAGAGTGTAGGGACCATGCATCTTCAACATTTCTGTTACCATTGTTCTACTTGAGGGGTCCAAACGAGACTAAAACTGTCTCGAGTGCCTGGAGATTTTCCTGGCATAGGGGGATCCTATGCCTTAAGTAGCAGAAGCCCAGTATAATTTACTCTATAACCGCTCCTTGGCTTCTTGTCCATCAGACATAGTGTATGCTGACGGACTAGAGGCTTAAGGAAGTGCGAATGTACTCTACAGCTCCTACCTGGGATAAAAACCTGTGGCCATTGCAAACTAGCATTTATTAGATTAGCATCAAGGCTCTGCTAAATTGCATTTAGGGCTGAACTAGTCTTCTGGAAGCTCTAGGGTCTTGGAGTGGTGAAGGAGTCTGTATGGTAGCTAGACGCTTGTATTGTGCACCTTGGAATATGGCCTCTAGGTATGACCAATTACTTTACTGTTTGTTTATTACAATAGCATTCTTTTAATAAGATGTTAGTCTTACATCCAAAACCATACATCCAATCATGTCTTCAAAACCACCAAGATAATTACCATTCAAGTGAACAGAAATTGCATTGTCACAGCTAAGGAAAGAAGTGGGTTGAGATGGGTCATAAACCAGTGATAACCTAAAAACTACTCATTCAGCACAGCACCTTTTAAATTAATCTTGCAACAATTTTACACTGGCTGAACCGTTTCAAATCAACTGAGTCACATTTCATTTACAATTACCTATACATAATATGAGAACAAAATGCAATCTGGTATCTCAATTTTAAAAATCAAGAATCTTGTAAATTAATTAAAACCCAGCCTAAAAAGGGGATTTAGGTGGTGTAGCAACCTTTTAGTTGGAATTAAGGGGCACCTATACAAATACCTGAAGCCTGCTCTGACGCGTTTTAATTAGAATGCGACAGCAGCCTTGGCGTCATGTGTATTCAGTGTCCCCACATTTCAAAATGGTGGTGGGGGCACTTTAACTAAAGCTAGTTAAACAAGCTTTTGTTAAAGTGTCCCATCACCATTTTGAAGCATGGAATACTGAATGCATGAGATGCTGCGGGCGTTTTAATTAGAGTGCTTCCCAAGATCAGGAGCCACTCCAATTAAAATGCTCCACCCCCACCCTGGAGTATGTGTCAAGATGCCCAAAGTGTCTTCTCCCTAACATGTGATCTAGCATAAGCTTGCCTAGGTGTTTAGGCAAATGTTAAGTGTAAGTCCATAGGCAAAAATGGACCATAGTGTTGAAAACCATAGTAACCATGGCAGTACGAATTATTTGGCATTTTGAATGAGAGATTTCTGTTAGTATCTCAATCTTCTTAAAACTCTTTGGGATTCACAAAGTAGTCATCCCTGCTCCTACAGGTCTTTGAGGGGCCTGATGCCCCAAATATATTCTGCATAGGTCTAGTTGAATGATGTGGTACACTGTCTTGCAGAAAATTTAGGTATGAGTGCCAAAGACCCCCTGCTGAAACAATGCCACTGGGCAGTCAGGAGCACAAGATTCATGCAGCCTGAAGAAGACCAAATAAAAAGTAATGTGGCTCTGTATCATAGTACGAAGGGCAGTATCCTGAAGAGTAGGCCTTTGGTTCTAGGCTGTGCTACTGACGCTGTTTATGTATTCTTTCCCAATAACCTTTTAGTGCAATATGCATCAATCATCTAAGGGCAGGAACCTGAGCTAATGGCTTGCTCATCTCCTGAGCTCATAAATCCTGTTCACTTGGTTGTCTAGAGACCCAAGCAGGACAGAGAGTGTTCTTAGCCTACTCTAAAGTGACAGCTTAGTGGTAAGGCCACTTTCCTGGGAAGAAGATGTTTGAATCTCCCTTATGTGAAGGAACCTAAAACTCAGTTCTCTTTCTTCCTGTACAAGTATTCTAAACACTAGGAACTTGGGCAAAAATGTGGCCTCCTCCTTCTCTGGTGCTATGACATATAAGTCTAAGTAGAAGTTTCACATGGTGATTCTGTATTAAGAGAAATAGGTAATGTGGGGGCTGCAGGGAGTCACTTAAAACAGGAGAGAGGTAGGATTATAGATAAACATTGATCTTCTACTCTTTTTAGTCACCTTTTGTAAATGAGCCTATGGCCTTCACTTCATAAATCAATTAGATACAAAAAATCATCTAGGACATAGGTTATAATGTGCCATAAATCCAGTCTGCCATCTGATAATCCCAGCTAACCTGTCTGCATTTTACCGGCTACATTCTACCACCAGTTCAACATTACCCTCTTCCCCCACCTCCCCCACCTGTCTCACACCTATTGTCTCCCATTCCCTCTGATCCTCACTGCCACTCATTTGTATTTTTACAGACCTGCATTTTGCATATTGGTTTCTATTCCACCATGGAGAACACATGGCAGCAGCAGACTCTCCTTATGCCTGAAGAAGGGTGTTTGTGCCTGAAAGCTTGCAAAGAACTTTTTTCCAACAATTTTGTTAGTCTGATAAAAGATATCACTTTTACCCAAATAACCTTGTCTGCCTTAATTACTGTTTGGCACTGAGGCCTAAATGTTATGCAAGATAACATGCCATATCACCTCTACTAAACCCCTTACCGAATGTGAACACTCAGTCCTTTTTTAATGGAAGATTAACCTTTTAGAAGGCTAACAACCAGGTTCATTTTTCTGATTTCAATAAGAAAATGTATTTATTTTTCATTTATTATTATTAAGGTAACTGTTATAATAATTAGGTGTTCATATAAAAACTATTTTTCATATGAGATAGAGTATGAACTTATAGACTAATCAACGTTTACATGATGATGGATTCCTCTATATCATAGGATTTAGACATTGATTTCCATAGACACTTTGAACAATAATTTCCATAAGAGTATTAAAAATCTAAAGACATTTAAAATTAATTAAAAACAATTAAATAGATGCAGTATTTAAATCATATATTACTTACCCCTGTTCTTTGAACTTCCAAGAAAATTGACCTCTGAAATGATTTCTCCCATGCTGCCAACTCATTGGCCAGCTCTACATTGAAATAATGATTCTTGCCATGTCCAACCATGACACTGAAACAGTATGGTCTCGGGTCTTCAAGATCATAGTCTTGATGAATACCTAAATATAACTTTGCTTGCAGCCAGCAATCATCAGCAAGCCAGAGCTGAAAGACAAATTTTAGTATGTGATTTTTCAACTACTAACAAATATATGATTAAGCATTGTTGTCTTCTAGTTTGAGCAAGTAACTCAGGAACAGGAAATATGGGCTTTGTTCTTAGCCCTGAGATTGAATTATTGTCAACTTGAGCCTCTCTGTATCTTAATTAACCCATCCCTAAAACTGATGTGATAATACTTATCCATCTCAGAGCCACAGTATGAGAATCATTTAGTATTTGTCCAGGCTACTGATAGCAGACTTCCTCATTTTATCATTTAATCCAATCCAGGTATTTCTGTAATTTTCAAAAACACTGGCAAGCAATGTAACCCCAGATATTAAATATGAGAAATACAATTTCTACTGAGAAGGCATGAGGACAAGGGCAAGGAACTCGTTAGGGACAGTGACCTAAAACATCCTGAAGGGCTTGTGGCATTTTAAAGCAATTCTGAGATGGTATCATTAAGTTAAAGAGTACAGTATTAGATCAGAGCTTCATAAAGCCCTTATCCATCTTCATAAGACTGGTTACCATAACTGAGTTTTTTTAGAAGCCAAGAAATGGTAAAAGGAATTCCTCAAGAAGGGCTACAAACATCCAGCTAATGAACCAAAGTTCTCAGCCTTCAAGCTGCAGAGAGAGAGAAGTACAGTACTTATTAGCTGTAGAACTGTGAATAAAGGAGAAAAATAAATACATGTTGATCATTTTCACCTTTTCTCTAGGCACCTACTTGGAAGGGTACTTACATATCTACATATTTTATTTTATAGGGACACATATGAGTTACTTTTCTAAATAACTGAAAAGACAACTTGTGAGTATTTTATTTCATGTTTGATACAAAAGCTTTGATATAAATATCTGAATTCATATAACCAGTGTTGCCACCTCATGATTTTTTGGTGTTCTTAAAGTGTACACTTTGGGAATGTGCAAAACTTAGCTCTTTCTTTTATCTATATATAAATATAGATAAAAGACAGAGCTCAGTTGTTCATATTCCTGAAGTGTAGACCTTAAGAACAATGACAAAAATCATGAGAATTGGCAATACTGTATAACTGAAAACTGGACAAGTTTTTTTAAATTAAAATATTTCATTTATTAGCTTAAAATAAACATTAGTTGTACGCTATATGCAATATGATGGACAGATGTCTTTATAAAAGCATCCTTTCACCTAAGAGATTTGAACATATCTATATGGTATAAGCCAGTTAAAGTCAGTGGAGTTTACTAGGAATAAATCCAACTAATTACTTTCCCCTTTTTAGGTTCCTGCTTAATCAAGGCACTGATTGTTTCAATTTTTCTGTTACAGAAATGTTATCCACTACCTGTTTTAAAACTTAAAAAGTCTATACACAACAAAAAAAAACCCTACACAAATGAAAATGTTTTTGGAAAAGATGCACTTTTTTTTTTTTAAAGAGCATCCATTTCAGGCAATGCATTCTGGTTTAAAAGATTGGGGGTTTTTTGTTTGTTTTTGGAAGCATGCCCAAATGGTTTTATTTATTTAGCTTTTCACTTTAAGTCCAAACATGTGAGTCCATGTACTCAGGCAGTAGCAGGAGGGATGTTTCACTGCTTATTAAGAACTTTTGTTCAATTATATTTGGTTTACATTGTGCTAACATGCTGGGAATGCCAGAGTTTGCCATCTACTTTGTGAATTAAGCCTGGGAATGGCAATAAAGCCGTTCAGAGATTCCCCAACATCTAACAAGAGTACTCTGCAACTTCATGGAGTGAAAAGAGATCCCTGCCATCATTCAGTGAATGAGTAATAGAAAGGGAATCTTATTTTCTTTTTATTTATTTTTATCAAGGAAGAGATTCATATACTAATCTTTTTAGTGAACTTAAATAACACTTAATAAAAACCTTACTGTGATCTTCATTTGATTATTAATTAATATGCATCCAGAGAAAAGCAAAACTAGATTACACAATTACTCCTAATGTCCAGCTATAGTTTACAAAATATATGACGCTTCTATAACTAAATGTCAAATATTTAAAAAAAATCTGTTTTACTAATTTGAAATCATATTAGCATTCTAGACTTCCTTATTATTCAAGACCCATCTTCAGTTTATTTTTGTTTGACATGGGGGCAAAGCTGGAAAGAACATAAAATAATTTGTAAATAGAGTCCTATTTGCTATATTCTGACATTAGTTGGAAATAAAAGACTATAATTCCCATTGCTCCACTCTCCTGGACTCCAGGTAAGTACTGTGGAGAAGACACTAGTTCCAATAGTTGGAGATGTGGATCAGGATGGACAATTTGAGACTGGATAGTCCTAGGAACAACAGCATGGCCACTAAAAGGAGGCAGAAGAACCCTGCTGGTCTGCAGGCCTTACAAAACCAGCAGGCTTCCATGGATGGACACTGCCCTGGGGCACCAATTAAGGGCACTCTTGGGTGTTGCCCTTTGGCAGGGACTAAAGACCTTTCTTTTGTTCCTTTCTTAGGGGTCTTTACAATTCGGTGTTGCATATGTTGTGAGGGAGAGGGAGAGTTAGAATTATTTTGGAGAAGCAGTGCAGCATCCTGCAGCCCCTCTGTAGGAGATAAGGTGCAAGATTGGAAGGGATATTTGGGGAGGGTGAAGGATCTCCCTTGTGACTGAGGCAAGGCTGTGGGACTGCATAGTCAGCAAGCAGGGGATGGAGTGAAAAAGAGTTTTTTGTAATCGAATGTGAGTGGTGGTTCAGAGACATGGTCAGGACTGGTGGGAGGGTTTTATTTTGTGGGGCTTTGGGCAGGGAGGCAGCATTTGAGGGGTAGGAAGGAGCAGGAGTTTTGGGGTTCTGGGGAGTTGTTTGGGGAATCCTGTCTGTGGGTTGTTTACTGTAAGCATCTTTGAGCCTTTGGGATACACTGGGATATAAATCTAATAAGAAAATAATAGAAAGCTTTATTTATATGGTTGTTACTACCACATAAGTGATATACATTAATTGTGTGTATGCAATCACCATGTAAGCAATGCAAACACTAACATACACACAAATAATTGTCAAAACACCCTTACTGTTTGGAACTATAATCTCTATAAGTGCATTTTAACTTTTGTAACGTAATATCTGTGGTTAGATGAGAAAATATATCTAGGTTTTAAAAACTAGGTACTAACTTATATTTTACTTATCCTAACAGCATTGTTGTTGGTCCTAATTTGGCCTCTGAATACACCTTTACTCACACTGCAGTTTCCATATTGCCATAAGGCTGACTCAACCTTAGACTGTAACAGAAACTTTAGACTGATCCAGATACTAAATTTTCCCCCATCTTAATTGATTTGCTAAGTTTTCTTCATTATCATTTATACTAAAGTGTCAACAGAAAAGAGGTTTAAAGTGCTGCATTTGGGCTTTTGTGTTTTAGTTAATGTATTCGCCAAGACTGACAATTAAGCATTCATTTATTAAAATGTCAAGAACATTACAGTTGAATCTTGGGTAGCTTATTTCCTACTTGTTTTTGTTAATGAAAATATAACCATGGAATTTGCTTTCAAGATGGTTGTCCTTGAAATTAACCTTGCCAGGATATGAAAGGAAGGACAGAGTATAAAATTAGCAAGTGGTAATATTCTGATGAGAAAAAAAACACACCCACATCTCTTTTAAAAGGCTTCCTGCATATCTACATCATTGTTATCCATTTTTTAGTCTCACTACTGCTTTAGAATAGGATCAAGGGATAGAATCAATAACTTGAGACACATTTTATGCTCTGTTCCATTAACAGTTCTAGTTAGATTTTGCAAGTTCTCTGATGGAGACAGCATCAGATAATCACACATCCTAACATGGCTGTGCTCTAGTAGCTCTTACTAATCTGTGATGGCCCACCTCCACATTTTCAGCCAGCCTGTTTTTTGGAGTGACAGTGAAGGAGATCTTCTCCACTCCACCCACAGAGGCAAGGGCAGAAGTATGAGTCCTATTCCCTCCCCTTAAGAATGGCAGTGAGATTGGCAATAGAGTCAAAGTTGGCAAGATTTTGCCAACCATACTTACCCAATTGGCTGGAGGGTGTCTGTATGGGTTGTTGGACCTCCCTAAAATGGTTTTGCTACCTAAAAAACTTTGTAAGATATGGGCTTTATTACAGACTGTAGTTTGCTTCAGTACATCCAGTCATTAAAATGTGAATGAATACTGCTGCAATTTAGAAATAGTTTAGACTTTTTTTAGAAACCAATCCAACTTCCACAATGAATGATATTTAAATAGGTAACTGTAATAGTCACTGCTTACAAACAGGTTTTATAACATTAGACTGTGGATTGGATCTTGATAACTCAGATTAAACTTAATTATAATTAAAAGTTGTTTCATGTTAGGAAACTATAAACTATCTTGGTTAAATAATGCAATCAGTCATTCTGAGGGAACTTACCTTGTGAACTTTAAACAGAACCTCACAGAGGTTATAGATTTTTTCAGCTCGTACCCAGTCTAGTGTGCTCACCTGCAATACCAAAAAAGTTTAAAGGGACATATTATTGTAAAGATTCAGAACACCTAAAGAAATGTCATTGATGGTTGTCCTTTTACACACGTAAATGAAAACCCCAGCCAGTTACAATTTGTGTATTACTGTAATATCAGGTATCAGATGTAATATGTGATCTATTACATCTGGTATATGTCTCTTAATGAGGCATTCACTGAATTCTTATTGAAGCTAAAATATATTACATTTTATTGCATTCCTCTAAAACCACTTTTGCACAAAGGAAACTGCTTAATCATCTCTTTAGTAAAATCAGTTACTTTGAATTTACAGTGCCCTAAGGCAAGAGGTGTCAAACATATGGCCTGCAGCCTCGGGAGCCAGTATGGCACAGAGGCTTGATTCAGGCATTGCTTGTGGCACAGGTCATTGTGGGGCAGGAGCTGCATGCAGCACCCGCATGCAGCACCCACACCAGACCAACCCTGTGCACTGGCTCTGGGGCCACTTAGGCTCAGGCCCCAGGCTATCCATGTGCACTGCAACTGGTGCACAGGGCTGTCCATTGGGGCATTGAATGGGCTGGATCTGACTGTGCTGGAGCCAGTGAGCTGGTTTGGTTCAGTGGGGCACCATGTGCAGGCAGGCATACTTGCTTCATGGTTTGTGCTGCCTGTAGCACGTGCCATGAACTGGCTCAGGGCCAGTCATGTGGGGGTGCCAGTTCCATGGGCCATAGGTGGTGCTTGTGGCATCAGGTCCAGCCCATGTGCTACCTGTGGCACAAGTCCCAGTTGAGGCTGACACATTGACTGCTTGCATGCAGTGCCCCACTGGACTGGCTTTAGCCACTGGCTCCAGCTTAGCTGGATCTGGCCCAGAGATCCTCCTCCAGCCCATAGGGCCAGATGAATTTGACACACCTGCCTTAAGGCGCACATATTTACAGTGCCTTAAGTCAAGGAACTGTGTACTGTCATCAAGGTACTTGCTTAATAGTTATAATCTAATCTCACATGCTGCCTCATTTTATAATAGGCAGGGCCATGGTTTTGGGTAACTTGCTGAATTAGAGGCATGGACAGACAAAACATTCACAATGTTGTAAGCGGTGAGGAGAGTAGACTTAGCACAGTGGGGCTAAATCTGGTGCAACCATTTAATATGTTCACTCAGGGGTGACGCTGAACTATCCTAATTTAATTCAGGAGGTGAGTTGCAGTTTAGCTTCACCTTCTGTACATTTGGAGTGCACATAGAAACCAGTTATACTTTGGGGAGGGTGGTTAGTGGGTCTTTGGGGGTGGTTGTGTCTTTAGGCATGAGGGGTGAGGAGTTAGCAGGTCTAAAAATAGCCTGGTTAGGGTGAGGTGGGGTGTAAAAATTGCAGCCTTGGGGTTGGGGAAAGCAACTGGCCTTTCCTAGTTCTTGGGGTGTGCTCTGAACTAAATTAGATCAGGCTGGGCATTTCTTTTTTGCCTGATTTAACCTCTCTGAATGTCTGTACAGATTGGAATTTAGATCAGCTTAACCCTAGATGGGTTGATTCCAAAGGTGCAGAAAGAAGTGACAATTTTTGCCTGATCTGGACCCTGAAAGTGCACTATAGCCATGACCAAACAGAAGTTTGCAGGCTACAGAGCACTTTAAAAGGGCCTGATCCCACAAAAATCTGAACCCTCATTGCATGTGGGTGTGACTGCAGTAACTTGTGTCTGAACTATCTCCCAGCCCTGGTGCTGTTTTCACAATGGGAGAAAGGAAAGGGAATGGAGGGAGCTTGGTCTCGGTTTTTTCAGCCAGTGCTGGAGGGTGGAGCAGGTGGATTGAAGCTCCCTCTCCACCCTGAAGGTGGGAGGGCTCTAACCCACTCACCCCACTCTCCAGCACCAGCTGGGGAACCCCCAGAAAGAGCTCCCTTTGCTCCATTCCCCACCTCCCATTCTGAAAACAGCACTGGGGCTGGGAGGGAGGAGGGGAGTTGCTAGGGGAGACTGGCTGCAGTCTCCTGCAAAGCACCATGACTTACAATGTGGAGCTGTTCTTCTGTCTGCACCCAGGTTCCTCTATCTGCACCTGGGAAAACCTGTTAAAACCTGGGGCTGGGCTGCCATCTGTTAAACACCTCCGCGCCTGACCACGAGCAGGCAGGAGAAAGCCACCCACAACATCCCACCCCCCAGACATGCCAGCACTCCATGGGCACATCAAAGCTGGTACCTGCAGCCCCAAGTATGGGACTGCAAGCACAGGGCTTTAAAGTGCCACAGGGGGAAATCTACCCCTTCCCTTGTAGCACTTCAGAGCCCCATAACTTCAGCCCCATGCTGCATGATTATCTCCTGGGCAGAGGTTGAGAGCCCAGAGCGCTGGTGAAACTGGGGCTTCCTGTGGCTAGAACTCCAGGATCACTGTGGTGAAAGAACCCCCACTCCAAGGTCAGAGCCCCAGCTTCAAAAGACTGCAGACCCCTATGGGTCTGCTGTTTAACAGCCTGAGAGCTGGCAGGCTAGGAGGGAAGGGGTGTTGTTAGGAGTGAGGGTGTAGCTGCCTTGCGTTGCAGCCAGTCAATGCAGCTCTGTGTACTGCCACCTGTCTCCTGGCAGGCTGAAGAGCCTGCAAAACATGGTGGGATGTGGGGTCCCCAGCCCCTTTTCTAGGTACCCTCAACAGTGTAATTCGTTTGTAAAGCAGGCAGCTGCCAGGTGGACACACACTTGTACAACCTTGAACTGGTATGGTTTTCAATTGTTTTAAAAGTTAATCTAAATTATTTAATTTCTAATGGCTCATTTGAACATGCTCAGGCAGGAATTGTGATCAGATGGGCAAAGAAGCAAAAACATTTTTATTTGTGTGCTTGCACTTAATAATGAAGCTGCTGTCCTTCCTGGCAGTAACTGCATTTGATCATGTCTTGGTTTGGTTCTTCAAGATTAAACTTTTTTCTCTCTTGCCAAATCTTCACTCTCCATCTTTAAGTTCACTCCCCTTTACCCTTAGGTTCTCTTTCACGCTGACAACGTTCCATGACTTTGAAACTGAGATACTGGGCCCAATATATACCACAAACACCACTTACATAAGTGAGAACTTTTTTTTTGTCTGTCAAAAGAAAACAAGAATACTTAAGATTATATACTGGAGTACTCTGAAAAATTGCAGTGTGCAAGGGCATCATGAGAATACCAATAACATTATGAAGGTTGAGGCAGTGAAACAAACACAATACAAAGGTGTTGTAATCCAAAAGAGCCAGATGACATTACTTATTGCTATCTCCTCATAATTATCAAAGTATTTCTAAATTAAATGTAATCTCTAGGTCACTGTTATGCTAAAATCAGTGATAGTAGGAGGGGTGAATCTAGATGTTCAGTGGTGTAGCCACAACCAGTTTTTGACCACATGGTAGGAGCAGAAGCTGGGGAGTTTAGTCCCCAAAGCAAGTAAGAATTTTACCCACTTCCCTTCCCCTCCATGCTCAGAGGCATGTCTCTTCCCCTCCCTTTCCACTTCCCCTCCCTTATCCCACCTGCCAGTGTCACTGCTCTCCCCCACATCCCAGGGACAAGGGAAGCTCCTGTACTCCTCCAGCTGGGCTGTACAGGGACTGGGCTCAGCTTGGCACAGCAGCAGTGGTGGCAGCATGTGGGTTCCTCCTCCTTGCCTTGTCTTCCAAGGTGTTCCTCACCAGATCAGGATCAGGTGCAGAAAGGGGAATGATGGTTGGGGGGAAGGGGGTGTGTGGAAATCTCCACTTGCTCCCTTCACCACAGCTCCCAGGAACGAAGCTGCCTCACTAGCAATGGGAGGAGCCACAGTGGCAGCTAGAGCAGGACAGCAGGAGAGCTGGTGCCAGCACAGTACTCCCAGGAAGCCCCAAAGTAGGTCTAGGGGCATGAAGGGGATAATCCCCTCACCCCACTCCCCTTACCGCACAAGTTTTCCCAGGCAGGGGTACAGGCAGGCCCAGAAGTGAAGGGATGGGTGACAGGGATGCCCGGTACAGTGCATCAGCCAGGACAGCTGTGGTCTGGCCCCTTTAAGGGTCAGACCACAGCTGTCCTGGCTGATGCACTGCCCACCAGAGTTCCTTAGAGGGAAAGGCCCTATTCAGGACCACTGAAGCAGGGACAGGACATCCTGAATGATTCATACCCTCAGGTCAAAAGCACCTAACCTCAGCTCACCACAGGCAATTCACCTTAATACTGGGCAGACACGTCACGGCTGGAGACCAGCAACCAATGCTGATAGGCTGGGAATAAGCAGAGGAGGACCTGAAAGGACAAAGGAAGTGGTGAAGGGAGGAACCCTACACTGGAGAGAGGTGGTGGCAGGGGGTGAGGGGCGCACCTGCCTGTATTTCTTTATTTTTGTGACTGATGGATTATGGGCAATTCCTGGAAGCTGACTGAGAAAGTACTCTGTTTAGCTCCTGTCTGTGAAGAATTAACAGCAGGAGCATTTAATCAATCCAGAGGCAGGGGTCAGAGGACCCCCTGTTACAGGCCCCAGAGGCCTCGCTCCAGGCCATAGCTGATTATTTTTGGACTGGTAAAAAGACAGCCCATACGGCAAAGCTGGCTTCCTTCTCTGGGATGGAATTCGACCTTAATACTATCAGATAACGGTAGGCAAACATCCCAAGAAGGTGGGGTACTCCCTAGCAGTGTGCACAGTGCTGGTCAAGCCACAAAAAAAGGGGCATGGCCACAGCGACCCCATCTGTCTGCTTCCTCTGCTGCTGTCCCAGGCTGCCTGTAGCCCCCATGCAGCTCTGCTAGAGCAAGCTTAATTGTTTAGGGAAAGTTAGTAACCTATAAATATGCATTTCATTATTGTGTAGTTAGTAAATAGTTGTACTGTATTTGGAATAATTAGGGCATTAAAGTATTCTCTTATTCCCTTTACCTTCCTGGATAATTCTTATGTTACAGAAATTTTGCAGTTTACTAAAATTAATGGAAAGTAGCAAATATTATATTTTAGTAGTGTACTTAAGAAAGTGTCACAAAAACATACAGTCAGAATGGCTTCTTTCAGGTTTGGACTTGAATACTGTCAGTCATGCAAATTCAGAATTGGATGAAAGACTACAGAAAAGGTAATAGAAATACTCCAAGTGTCAAATTGAAGATGGTGGTATTTAACCATGTGTGTTAAGTCTTCTTTTGTTTAATATTGTTATATACAACCAGAGTTATTTTAAATGTATTAGTTATATACACTAAACACTGGTATAAAGATGTCCATTGATGAATGTTTCTGGTATATAAACAATTCTCTAGCAAGCTGAATATATAAGTTCAAAGTCTGGTGTGTGCGTGCAAGCATGCATAAGTTTTTGACTAGTTTTATTAACAATTTAGAAGAGGCAGGTAAATAACATACTCGCTAAATTGAGGTAAGAAGGTGTTCTCAGCACCCATGGACAGAGATATAATATAAGAGGGCCAAGGTTTAAGAACAGGAATACAAGATAGAATTCCAAGTCCATAATGAAGCACTGAAATAAGTAACCCAAGTTTCAAAAGTGTTGACTGTTCAACAGGTTCTTCTGACTCATTTGGGTTGCTTGGTGCTCAGCACTTAAAAAAAAAAACCCCAAAACAAAACAGGCCACTTATTTCAGTGCATCTACCTTTAGTTTTCTAGAATTAAAAATCTAAGCCAAGGTGTCACAGTGCAGGGTCCCCAGGGCTGGCCTTGATGCCTCTAGCGCTCCTTGACTGTATCAGCTTGGCCCTGCGGGCGCCTTCTAGTCTCATCTGCCACGTCTTATTGGTTAAGGCAATAGATAGGGAGGCTGCCCTCAAATTGCTACGCAGTCATGATCCTGATGGACCCCACTAAACCCAGTGCATTCTTAGACCCCTTGCTGTGTCCTGCTCTAAGTATGTGCCTTGTGAGACACCAAGCTTTATAGGCTAGATCTGTGGCTCCAAAACTGCCCCTTTACCACACCCCATGTCTCACAGATGGGATTTAAATGTTGTCTCTTTTAGTGAGGCCTCAGTCTAGTTTGGCCTCTTGTTGTCACTGAGCCCTTAGCCCCAGTAACCCTGGTGCTAGGGTCTCTTCACCCCCTGTAGCGGCACTCTCTATGAGGCTTCCTTTTCCCCCCCAGTTAGCCTCAGCCTAGTCTACCAGTATAAAAGACAGCAGAAAAACAAGCCTCTGGGCTATAACATAATAGAAACAATGCAATCCACACCCTGCCTCTTTAAAAAGACAAATTTCTCCTCAAGCACTGAGTGCCTTCCAGTCCTGGGTACCTTATGGGCTGCTGGAGCCCCATTAGTCATATAAGCAGCAGTTTCTCCCCTGCAGGATCTCCTTTCCCTGAACAGCTGCTAGAGGACTAGCTCCTGCCAGCCCTGGGGCTTATATATGCCCAGGGCCCTGTCTCCTTCCTGTCAGCTGACTGGGTGCAGGTGCCAACTAATGCTTTCATTAGCCTGCTGCCAAGGCACCAGCAGCTGTGGAGCTACAGGGCTCTCTAGCTAAGCTGCCTCTGCTCTTAAAGGAGCAGGGACACCTTAGTGCCTGTGACACAAGGGATCCAAGCATGGGCAACTGGTGCATCTGAAGTCTGGGGGGCAACAGCAGCCAATCGCTGACCAGGGGGATCTCCCAGAGGCTGATAGCCAACCGGGGGGGAGGGGTCTCTGAACAGCCAATTGCCAACATGTCCCCCGCCCAGTACCCTCTCTGCATGTCGCCTATGGATCCAAGCTTCAATTTGGCAGTGTAACCCCTTCCAAACATCACTCCCATGCCAGGCCTGGCCACTGCTGCCCTGTATTCAGAGACAGTAGCTGAATAAGCTCCCTCTTGCTGGCAGGGAGCTGTCTCTGAGCACAGGGCAGCAGCGGCCAGGCTGGGCAAACCTGGCTGCAGTGCGAGCGGCCCCTCTGTGCTTGGACCAAACCCCTCCTGGCAGGAAGGGGCTTATTCAGCTGCTGGCCGCAGGGTCTGCCCAGTTGGGCCACAGGAAATAATGCGGGCTGAATAAGCCTCCTCAGTGGCTTGCCCCAGCACAGAATGAGCAGCAGGGGCTGGCCCTGCCCCCTCCCAGCAGCTGGAGTGGTGAGTGCCCAATGGGCTGGAGTGCATCACAGCTTCCCAGTGGAGACTGCGCTGTGGGGCTGCCAGAGAGGCTGTGGAGTGCGGTGGCATGGCAGGGGCTTGCAGGGCTCTGGTCTGCTTCACACCCCGGCACTGCATTTAGACTTGGAGACTTAGGAGACCAAAAAAGAGATGGGAAAAAGTCAGGTCAAGATGGCCCAGGAACAACAAGAAACCAAGCTTGGGAAATAAAAGATTGTGGTGCTTAAGCTAGAAGCTGCAACTATAAATAGTGTAAATATTACTTAGAAAAATAGAACTGCTTAGAAAAATAAACTAGGGTAACAACAGTGCCTAACAACTGCCTAGCAATGGGGACATTATGCCAAGTCATAAAAGAAATAGCAAAGGACAACAAAGTTGTCACTCTGCTAGCCTGTGCCCCAAGAAACATCAGGTGATCAGTGCAGACATGGGAACCCAGGAGCCTCACACCAGCATGGCCAGCTGATTGAGAACTCTCATTAAATACATCCAAGATTGTTGCAGCATGGTGAGATTCACTTTAATAAGTGTAGTATTGCTACTTTAGCCATGTGTGTAGCCAAGAAAGTTTTGTTTGATCTTTTAATTGGAGAGGTGTAATCCATGTAACCTCCCTGGCCCACTCCCACCTCTGAGGTTATTGAGTTCTACCCCAACAAGGAGGACAATCAATGCCCCCTCCTCCCTTAACCAAATCCTAATGGTACCACTGATTGTAGTGAGGGTATCCCATTGCCTACTGTGTTGCACTAGTTGCTGGTGATTTATTAGTCCAAGTAACTTAAGTAAAAACATGCCATAAACATTCTCTTTCTTTTGTACCCACACAGAAATATACAAAATGAGGAACTATTTATGTGGGAATGATAAGAGGAAACAGATACTAGAGAAAGAAAGTACAAAAGTGGCTTTTCTTAAAAGGATAGTCAAAATTAACCAGTACTTTAAGGCTAAGTACAGAGGTGCAAAAACCCAAGGCAAACATGATTCAATCTTTACATTTTTTTCTAAGCTGCTTAGATTGAATCAGTAACAAATTAAAATGATGTTCACTGTTTGGGTGGCCTAAACAAGCTGAAGTCTACACTGGCAGATGGCCGAGGAGGGGGCAGAGCTAAGATGATCCCAGCCTGGCTTCGAGCTGCAGGGAGATGAAAAGCCACAGGTGGGTGCTTTCTCCTTGCACCAGGCAGGTGCCAGCTTGAAGGGCCTGAGCCAGGCTGCGGGGAGGGGGTCCCATTCTCCTTCCTCTTTTGGAGGTGACAGCTGGGGAAGGAGCGGAGCTGAAGGATTCCAGATGGACTTGAGCTGTGAGAGGGGAGGGTGAAAAGCCCCCCAGTGGGTGCTTTCCCCTCCATGCATGGCAGTGTCAGCTGGGGGGAGGGGGGCAGTGGGAGGGTCCCATCCCTGAATCCCCCTCTGCGCCCATTCCACCCCTCATGGAGGCAGTGGTCTAAGGAAGGGGTGGGGGGGCTGGGGTCATCCCAGCCCAGCTAGAGCTACAAGGGGCCAAAAAGCCCACCATGGATGCTTTTCCCACCTACACTGGGCAGACCTTGGCTGGGAAGGTGTTCCCATCCTGCCTTTTCATAGATTTCATAGACATTAGGGCTTGAAGGGACCTCGGAAGATCATCGAGTCCAGCCCCCTGCCCAAAGATAAAGATCCCAGCAAGATAAGCATCCAATTTACTCTTGAAGGTGTTAAATGTAGGTGCTTGAACCACCTCTGATGGCAGGCTATTCCAGACCTTGGGGGCTGAGATAGTAAATAAATTCTTCCTTACGTCCAGTCTGAAATGGTCTTGCAGTAGTTTATAATCGTTTCACCTCATCATCCCTTGGGGCGCTCTGGTGAACAAATGTTCCCTGAGATACTGATGGTCCCCCTGATAAACTTATAGGTGACTAACAGATCAACCCTGAGCCTGCGCCTTTTCAGGGTAAAGAGCCCCATAGCTCTCAGCTTGTCATCGTAAGTTCTGTTTCCCTGACCCCTGATCATGCGCATGGCTCTTCTCTGGACTCTCTCAAGCTTCTCTACATGCTTTTTGAATTGTGGGGCCCAAAACTGGATGCAGTACTTCAGCTGCAACCTCACCAAGGCTGAGTACAAGGGGAGAATGATGTCCTGGGATTTGCTTAAGAAGCATCTATGGATGCAAGCCAGCATTTTAGTTGCTTTACTAGTCTCAGCATCGCATTGAAGGCTCATGTTCATCTTGTGGTCAATGATGACCCCCAAGTCTCTTTCTTCCATAGTACTAGCCAGCATAGCACTGCTGAGCCTATAAGGATGCTGCAGGTTTTTCCTCCCAAGGTGGAAAACCTTGCATTTTTCAGTGTTAAACACCATTAGGTTCTCGCCCGCCCATTTGCTGAGCCTGTCCAAGTCAGCCTGAATCACCCTCCTGTCTTCAGGTGTGGATGCTTTGCCCCAAAGTTTGGTGTCATCAGCGAACTTGGCCAATCTGCTTCTGACTCCAATGTCCACATCATTAATGAAGACATTGAACAATATGGGTCCAAAGACAGAGCCTTGGCGGACCCCACTGGTCACAGGGCACCATGATGATTGACTTCCGTCAACCATCACCCTTTGGGTCCGACCACAGAGCAAATTCCCCAGCCAGTGGATCATGGTGGATCGAAGGCCACAGTTGGCCAGTTTTGCCAAAAGGTGATCATGGGATACCAGATTGAAGGCTTTTTTTTAAAGTCAAGATATATGACATCAATCTCTTCTCTCTTGTCCAGGTGATAGGTCACCTGGTCATAAAAGGAAATGAGATTGGTCAAGCAAGACCTACCCACAACAAACCCATGCTGGCTATCCCTCAGGATGTTGGTGTTGGCCAGTCCATTAAGGATGGCCTCTTTAATAAAAATTTCTAAGATTTTCCCCAGGATAGAAGTCAGGCTGATGGGCCTACAGTTTTCCGGATCCACTTTCCTCCCTTTCTTGAAGATAGGCACCACATTGGCCTTCTTCCAGTCTTCGGGC